TACAAGTACTCCCTGTATTTCTGGCCTTCAACCCCAGCATTTATTTAGCCCAGGTTATAGTTTCATGTTGTAAAGAAGGTTTGTCTTTTGTTCTTGCCTTGAACTCACCGTGTTAAATGAGACCTTCATGTGAGAAAAACCTGACGAATTAGTCACTTCCAACTCTCTCACCTATGTGGTTATCAGTTGAGAAATTATTTGATAGCTGAATATCTAAATGCTGCTGAACTCACAAGTACTTTATCATGATATATTGTTTTAAAGTAGTATTTTCACAAACAGTCAGCACTGGCCTAACTCATTTTCACTGACAGCAAAGAGATTTGGACTTTTAAATCACTATCAACTGTATCAAGAGAAGAATTTAGAAAAATATGCAATATTGCCATATTTTTCTGCAGTCCATTTAAGTTATGACCCTCTTACTAATACTATCATCTTTTCTCTTTTCCTCTGCTGCTAGTGCCTCTGTACTGCCCTGCCCTCTCACAGAGCCTGCAGCTTCATCCACCTCATCCCTCTGCAACACAGGGAGCAGGAAAAGCCAGCAGCAAACTAGGTGGTAACTGTAAGAGGTAGCCTTGAGAAATGCTGAGGAAAGTATGACATGAATGCTGCCTGCCCAAGGGACTTACGCACATGTTTTCTACTTCAGATTACCAGCTGGAAGTTCCCTCCTTGAGTTAAGCACCAAGAAAATCCTTTCCAAACCAAGCCAAAGGTTCCCCCCTTCTTTCTGCCCAATACCCATGATCAGAAAATATCCACAAGATGGGACAGATTTACCTGAAGAAAGTTGATATTTCTCACTTTCAGAAAGATACCTCAACTGTCAGGCTATATAATTATTTATTTCATGACTCTTTAGACTGGAGATTTGACCCTGGATTTCCTATACCTCAAGTGGCTCCAGCCACTGGCCTACTGAAGAAATCCTGCCTTTGGTATTTTTGCTGCCTTAGGTAGATGAAAGCCACATAGTTCATAAACCTATAAAGAGCTCTATCATGAGCTGGACATACAGTTATCTACCACTGTCATGGCTTGGGTAGTGCCAGCCATGACTAGAAGCAGTTTGGCACCCAGAGGGCTGGTAGAAGGTGGAGCTGTGAGGACTTTAAGCACAAAGTTAGGTGGCAGCAGAGCAGATGTTTTGAGTATCTAGTTTTAGATTTAGGTATTTCATTTAGTAAATGGTATACTACAGCACAGCCTGCTGTATAGCAATGTCCATACTAACTTTAAACATGCCAGTTTAAGCACCAGAATGGCAAGAACAGACAGCAGTATAAATTATTCAGTGCTGTTCTGTCTGCATTGCTTTGGTACCAAGCTAATCCAATAAGCCTCTATCATTACTTCTTCATCATAACTATATTCATCATGCAAGGTAGCACTGTTTACTGGTACATGAAGAATTCACACTTCCATTTGTCTATGCAGCCATAAATTTACACCCATCATTTTACTTCCAAATTAAGTTATTTGGAAGCTTCATCAAAGCTTCTGTTTTAAAAAATGCCAGTCAACAAACCATCTTCAACATCAAAATCAACTGTAAAATGCAATACTATTAATTGGGAAGCAAGAATAATTTATTTCCATTGTGGATTTGATTTTACCAAATGAAATTTATGGTACAATAAATGCTACAGTAAATGCTAAGACTTCGGTAGGCAACTAAGTATTTTGCTCAAGATCCAGGCTGTTTCAGTCTTTGTCTTTTAAAAACATTTTTAATCATGGTCTGGAAGGTAGGAGAATTAATACACCTTTTAGTATTTTAGTATCATTTTCTGCATTCAAGACCAAGCAAGCAGGACAGCATACTCTTTAATGTGACCACTTTTTCAGAATAGACATTAACTGAGGCTTTTTCATGCACAGTTGATTTTGTATAAACTGATTGACACCTTTGGGGGTCGTCTTTCCACCAACTCATAATTTTGCTCACTCTTGAAAAAAAAGCCTTCTGCACACCCAGTATTCTCTAGTTAAAGCTGAAAATTCAACTCATCATATTTACACAATTAAAAAAAAAATCCATTCTACGTTGTTTTTAATTGCAAATCCTACTCAAGGGACCAATTCTCCTGCTTAGGAGGCAGCCCTGTGCCTTCTACTAGAGAACCAACTGCAGTCAATTATGGTAATGAAATGTCAATAAATATAAAAATTTAATACAGCCTGCTCTTGGTGAGTGGCATATGAGGACTTGCCTCCCAGACAAATTTGCTGGTGCTGCAAATATAAAATGCACCTGAAAGAGTAGCAGGTTGCCTGAGAGCTCTCCAGTAGAGGGATGGTGGGAGATCCAGGCATCTACTGGGTTTTTCCATTATGGCATAATCGCTGCACTAAGGCCACTGATATTCTTGACATCCAGACATCTTAACTCCTTATTATGATGTGAATAGCATATTTCCCCCACAAACTGGAACCTCAGTGAGGGACTTTGAGCTTTTCCCCCCCCTTAACAATTACAAAAGGGAAATTAAGTTGTGAAAGTTGATATTTATATGTGACTGGTTTCTCAATATGAAGTAGTTGAATCACGTCACTATATTAAACTGCTCTTTGAGTAAAAAGTATTTGAGGTATGCTACTTTATTTTTTCCTATTATTTATATAAGTATATATACTTACATATAAATAAATAAGTATAAATGTACATATAGAAAGAGAGAGAAATAACAGAGGAGATAGAAAGTAATTTATGAAAGATGGTTCGGCTGGGGTTTCCAAAGACCAGATTCTAGTTTTGTCACAGATTTCTTTAGCCCTGAGTAAGCTATTTAATGTCACTACTTCAGTTTTTCCAGGTGTAAAGGAGACCAATAAAACCTACCTCACAGGATACTTAAGCATAATCCACTGACTTAATTGAAACATGAGTACAACTTTAAATGCTTTGCAGAGTTGAAGCAGTATTATTCTTAACATCCATACAAAAAGTGTAACTTCATTTTTCTTGTACAGTTGCCTTCAGTCAACGTCTTGGGAGCACTAAGAGTACATATAATAAAATTTCTTATTAAAAGTCAGTAACCTATTGATTATATTAAGGTCATCACTAGGAGAAGTTATTGTTAATTCCTTTCAGTCATCTCTCTATCTTTCCCGTCTGAAATTTCATCAGATTTGAACCCTTTTTTTTGCTTTACTGTTGTTTATACTTGAACAGAATCAATTCAATAGTTTTGAAATTAAAAAAAAAAAAATCGTTCATAATACATGTTCCTCAACAGTTTTTTAAAAAAATAGATTTAAGGCATCAGTGCCTGGAAAAACAAAATTTTGCAGTATTGGTCTGTTTTGTCTGGTGATGCCTGGCTGTTCTTTATTATAGGAGACCTTGAAGATGGGATTAGGACAGTGATACCTTTAAACAAATCAACTCAAAGTGTGCACTTACCATTGTGTTTAGTCTTAGTTAAGAGCCAGACTTCACTTATGTGTACTTACATGAAATATGGTTAGCAATTTCCCTGTTGTTATGGAGGCTCCTAAAAGAGAAAGGTGTTGGTAATATTAGAGCAGCCAGGCAAGAAAATAATTTTTTTTAAATGTGTCAGTAGCCCTTTTAGGTCTCAGCCAGTTGGCTGGGAGCAGCTCAACACAGGAGCAAGCAACACACCTGGCCGTCTTCACAGGACAGTGGCATCTGTAGGGGATATGTAACACACACCTGAGCTGAGCTGAAGATGTTTCAGCTGAAGCAGTTGCACCCTGCTCCACGCTGCTGTCACTGTGCTGGAGCTGCCCAGTCTCACAGTCTCCAGCCCAGTCTCAGAGCCAGCTCACTCCAGTCCCAGCCCCAGCCTCAACCCTAGCGCTTCACCTTTGCAACGTGGTGTTCCCGTAGCTGCAGTACCCAGGCACTTTCCCACTGCTCAGCATCGCATGACAAAGCATGCAAAATTTAACAGTGCACATCTTCAGAGTGGCAGAGTCTGGTACAGCCAACCACAGGGAAACATCCCCTTAATGGAACTGGTATTCACCAGGAAAAAGTTTCACTATGTGAGCAGTGGGGAGGTTGCCACAGATTCAAGGACTGTCTGGGGGTGTGTTGTCTATGAAAGGCTCTAAGTATACTTTGCTTGTGAATATCACCTTTTTAATATCATGTATAAATTCCAGCTTTATGTTGGATCTCTATATACAAGTGTCACTTCAGAAAGCTCATAGACAGGTCGGCCTCCTCCAAGAACAAATGGGCAGCATGACAAGGGCAGCAGACCCCCAGAGCAGTCCTGCTTGTTTCTGTGCCCCAGAGAAAGTAGTTTCGTGCACTGTGGTTGCTGCTTGGGTCTACGCAAGTACAGCTGGCCAGTGTCACACACCTGCCTGCTCTTCCTTCAGGAGGGGAGGACTCACCAGAGCAAGTCTGTTGGAACCAACTCCGACAAATACCAGGATTTTGTGTAGTTAAGGAGAACAGAAACCACCCACACAATACCTCTGCTTCCTGTGGGAATACACCAACATTTCTGGACTTGAATAGATGTTTCTGGCCAAGTTATGGACAGTGAACCATTTCCCATGAATACTGTTAATGTCCCTCTGGACTAATACACCCAGTGTAAGCATGAAGTTTACCTCATCAGTCTTTATTTGTAAGATCATACAATTACAGTGAGAACAAAAGACATCAAATAAATAAAACAAACTGATATGGAGACAGCTACAAGTGTCATAAGCAGTTCTCATACATAATGCTTCTAAAAAAAAAGAAAAAAAGACAAGCAGAAAAACCAGCATTCACAGTGATGTGACATACCATTAAGATATATGGATTAATAATATTTTCAGTAGATACCATTGTGCTAAAATCAGTTTATATATAAAAATCATCTTAACTTGATAACATCTTCAAATTGAGAATGATTCTTTTAACCAGGTGTATCCCAGTTGTACAATTCAAGCAATTGCTTGAAACATGCTAAAGTGGTTCTACGGGCATAACAACCAGACAGAAATACAATTCTCTTTTACAGGTGGATTATTCCGTAATAGCATCCCAAGCTGGAGCCACCCTCAACAATCTTATGAGCCATGCACAAGAACTAGTAGCAAAACTTCGTTCCCTGCAGTTTGATCTACGAGAATTTGTATGTCTCAAATTCCTGGTGCTGTTTAGTTTAGGTAGGTACACTCTACTCTTCATGCTTAATAATGTTATTTTTTTCTAAAACCACTGAAAATATTTTACTTTTCTTAAATTTTTCATGAAAAACATGATTTTAAAATATATTTAATGAGTTTCACAGTAATCTGAGGATTATTTTTTAATTAACATGTGCAAGAAAATGATGTATAAGGATTACAAGTGGGTTTCTATGGAAATGGCAGCTAAAACCTACAGAATTTAATAGAGTATTACAAGCTTTCTGTATTTCTCTATGTTATTTTGGAATATTCAGAACAAGGATAAAATTCAATTAGAAATTCTAGAGAACAGTGGAAAATACAGATTACCATGTTTTTCTATGATATTGAATGTAGTTATGTAAAGCAGATGGAGTGGGGATATGGTTGAAATATCCCTCTTTTTCAAAGACATCTGTGGTAAGTACAAACAATCTTTGCTTATGATGGCTGTCATATCATAACCCATAAATCAGTAATGTATCTCATAGTTTTTAAAAAGTGAAAGAAACTCTTAAAGTGCAAATTAATGATAATAGCTTTATGACAGATCTGGCTAGGACATAACCTTTAAAGGGATGTTTTGTACTGGTGGAGAGGACACAGAATGGGAAAGATACCTATGCAAGACAAATTAGTTAAACTGGTGCCCTCCAATGAATCAGTCAAGAAAAATCACCAGTGCCAGGAATAAAAAAGGGCTGAGGGAGATGGATTCCTATTGACTTCATAGGAACAGATTTTTCTGCCTGTCCTCTGTTTCAGGTTTGGACTTTGTTGACTTAATAAAGCTGGTCTAAATAAACTTTGGCCAAGTAAATTTTTATTTACTGTCAGACAGTTAGAAGGAGAGGTTTAAAAACATAAATAAGGTCAGACTCAGTCTCACCTCCATAGCCAAAACTCCTGTTTTACTCAAAACATATTTTGTCTACAAAGAGAGTGAACAGTCAAGCCAAGCACAACAGTGAAAGAAATATGAGCAGTGGTGATATTTAGTAATGTTTTTCTTTAATCTTCAGGTTTTTAAAAACGTCTTCTGTAAAGGAATAAAATTCTACAAATAAATTATTATAATACAATTGAATTAGACTAAAAGGAACAGTTTTGGTTACACTTAATTACTGTCTTAAATACGTCCTTCCATGTGGTGTTTATAGAATTTGAACTTGCTTTGGAAAATTTTAGATGAAGCTCTTTAAATACAGGGAGCATAAAAGATCAGTAATTCAGAGGTACAGGACATGGAACATGCATAAGAAACAAAAGAATTATTTTAAAAATTAGAACAATGCTACCAGGATTGACTGTTATGAAGTAGATACATTCTCAATCCTAGGAAGAGATGATGAATTTCCCTGGTAACTATTAACACTTTGTATTCAGGGCTTCATTGCTTTCCATGTCTTAAATTCAGAGAAGGAAAAGTTATCTATTGCAGAAATTATGTTTTATGAATTAATCTGATGAATAACAAGAATTCAGATTTGTTAATTCCTAATAAGTGGGTTTTTCAGTCATTAGACAGTGGCACAGAAATGTCTAAAGAGCCTGTAGCTTATCTCTGATAAAATATTTAGAGAATTCATCTCAGTTCAGTGATATTTTAAATTAGCTGAATAAGTGAAGTGCATTTGGAAAATTTTAACATTTAGGTGGCCTTTTTGTTTGATTGCTTTCATCAGCTCTTCTAGTACTTTGCATTGGTTTAGGAATTGTTCTTACACCGTTAGATCTTCTGCCAGGTAGTGTGTTCCATTTCTGAAGCAGTTGGGCAGGAATACCTTGCAAGCTTGTACCAAGCCAGGTTATCCAGTTTTTCTCTCATTTAGGCTACTATGAAAAGAGCTAATTCTGCTACTATTAGGAGCCTTATAATCACATAACTTGCATATAAAAGTGATGTAGCTAAGAAAGGTTCAACACCTTTGAAACCAATTAGTTCATTATTTAGCATACTGCATAATTCCATTTGCTAATAGTCAAAGCTAGACATTAGTCTACAAAGAATAAAATATAAAGATGTTACCACCTGACCTACAGGACTGAGGCAAATATTTAATGAGAATTATGACAAAACCAAAATCAAAAACACAGATACCCTTTCCAGCTAAGTACTTAAGTTTGTGCCCAAAAGTGCAAATGAATCATCTGGCTGAAGTTAATAAGATGCCTCACATCCTAAAAGTGAGTTAGGTTTTTGAAGACATTGAAGTGCCCAACAATGCTGGTAGGCACTCAACAGGGTTGTCAAAACTAGCTAAGCATCAAATTCTATATAAGTAACTGGGAGCAATTACTGTACCCAAGTATCTAGGTGCATTTGACACATACCTACATTTCTTAGGCATCTCAACAGAAAACTGGTCTTAATGCCAAAAATATACCACTTAATCAAAAAAATATTTCAGAAACCTCAGATGGCTCTTGAAAGTCTGGCCCTGTAATGTTTAGCTGAATAAAAAGCGCTTAAGACATACCAGCCTTTTTACATTTCTAAGGATGTTCATACCACAGTGTTAACCAAACCAATAAAACCTTATGCTATTGTTCTTAGTACAGTGCTTGGTTAAAAATAAATGTCTAATAAAAAGCCTCTCAAAGCCAACACTAAGTCAATAATCCACAGAATTAATTTATTGAGAATAAGTTGTTTGGTTTTTATAACTGTACAGATACAAGACTGCCTTGTAAAGCTGTTTGTTATTCATGGCTGCACCGTATTGTCTGTCTCTTCACAAGGTGGCAATCTCCTTCAGGGCAAAGAACTTTGTCTCTGCCTTTTTACCTAACATTTCAGAAGTGATTATCTTAGTAAACTAACAGTAAAATAATGTTCAAAACCCAAAGCACTTACAATATTTTTTCAAAACTCAAATCATATCAGTTTTGCTTGCTAGATTTTCAATGAAAGGTAATTGTTCGTTATCTACTCATCAAAGGTTCCAAAGGGTTTATTAAGGAAAATGCTTTTGATTGATGGCAGCATTAATGAGGATGCTTTGAAGCTTAGACAGATGCATGTTTACTGTAGCCTTTGCGGCTAGCAGTGCACAACTCTTCCTGCATATACCCGCTCCACTGAGTGATACACCCAGGCACAGGAGCTCAGCTCCTCTCTCCATCTCGTCTGTCTGGGCGCATCTGACCGACACTGCCAATTATATAATGGTACAGTTGACTCAGCAATTATTCTGTAAGCCAGAATAGTTTGGTAACTAGTTTCTTGAGAGTAGCATCTCTTTTGTTTAGTTCTATATAGCATTAATATATGTAGTTACATAACTTTTAAATTCCCTCCATCAGTTATAAAAAGCAAATGTCTTTACAGCTAGGTAGAGCTTACCTCTCTGTACATAAGTTTTCTTTCACGCCCATGGATCTTCATACTTCAGTGACTGTCCGTCTGTCTACCCTCAGTGGTTCCTCATACCATCCTTCAGTCCAGCCACTGCCAATCTGGAAAGGAGGAAGTCCATCACACCTGAACTATTGTTTTCAGCAGATAACCAGTTCAGCTGAATCAGTCCTTCAGCTTTTCTTCTCCCACAGGTTAAAAAGAGAACAAATCAGTCCTTACAACCAGCACAATCATCACAATCACACTGGAGATTACCATTTTGTGGACAGTTCAGACTCAGCTGTATTTTAGATTAACATGAGCCTCGATTCATAAGGACATTAAACCACCAGCAGAGACTGCTTCCTTCACAGCTTCGCTGCACCATCAGTGGTCAGTCAATTACTCTGTCAAAACATAGGAAGTTTGGACTAAATTTAAATTCCATCACATTACTCTGACCAATTTACACAATCTACAGATCTACTACACTAGTCCATCAGGGTTCCCTTAAAGAACCACAATCTTTCCATGAGTAGGTCCTCTGTGGTAATTCCCTCACTGTGTACCTCCTCACTGCACATAAATGTTTGTTGCTTTCCTCTCTCACTGCACACCAGAACAGCATTATACTAATCAACCAGTGTAATTGACAGCTGAGATCACAGTAAAGCAAATAGAAACAGGTCTTGTGATCAAAATTGCCCATCACAGTTTTGGTTGTGTAGCTTGGTATAACTGCTAAGCCATCTTCTAGTCACTTCTTCCCCTATTTGATCTCTGACATACATGTCTGAATTCTGCACCAACATCTGTCTTTGCTGCAAATGATATACTAGATGCTGATTGGATGTTTTATTTGAAGATAAGCCGGACTTAAGATGAAGCCAAAACGTTTTGTTGCAAAGGAGCAATCCATCTACCAGGATTATTTATTTGAAAGAAGTCTTCTGTTTAGGTGGCCTAAAAATAGCAATCACTGTTATCAATCTCCATTTCAATTATCTTGGGCTATTACCTTGCTTTGAAGTAAATCAGGATACCAGTTCTGATAGCAATTATCCTTGCCAACCTTTCTTTGATTGAGGTTTACATCATATTTGCAAACCCCAAAACATGCCTGTTTTCTGGGACATCATTCCTGTGTTCTCACATATATAGGTATTCTCCCCTTAATTCCAACTAAGGGAGTGAAAGTAATCAACATCCCAAACCACAATTTAACTCAGGTATATCAGCTGCTTTTTTTTTTTTTTTTCCCCCCACAATCTGAAGATGGATTAAAAAAATCTGTAGCTCAAGAGATATTGCATCTGACAGGTTTCTTTCAGGCAAAAATAACCAAGACACAGCCATCACAGTTCAGCAACTGTAATCACACAGTAGAAAGTTAGTGGCCAGGCACATGTTGCAAAACTGGGAAAGAATAAAGAAATCTTTGACAGACTGGAGTGTTAAACCTACTTTTAACACTATTTTATAAACTCATGTCCAAAACATGAAAAGAGAACATCTGAGAAAGATGCTGATCACATAGGTGTATAACTGTTTATCAAATTTACCACTAAATGAGAATAAACATATCTGGCTTTCCCAAAGCTAGCTAAATTGGGCATAATGCAGTTTCTTTACGCTAATCCCAGAGTAATAATAATCC